CTTGGTGTCCATACATTTGTTCTCTACATCTGTGTTTCTATTTCTGCTTTGCAAACCGGTTCATCTGTACCATTTTTCTAGATTCTATATATATGCGTTAATATACGATATTTGTTTTTCTCTTTCTGACTTACTTCACTCTGTATGACAGTCTCTAGGTCCATCCATGTCTCTACAAATGACCCAATTTCGTTCCTTTTTATGGTTGAGTAATATTCCATTGTATATATGCACCACACCTTTATCTATTCGTCTGTCGATGGGCATTTAGGTTGCTTCCATGACCTGGCTATTATAAATAGTGCTGCAATGAACACTGTGGTACATAACACTATTTGAACTACGGTTTTCTCAGGGTATATGCCCAGTAGTGGGATTGCTGGATCATATGGTAATTCTGTTTTTAGTTTTTTGAGGAACCTGAATACTGTTCTCCATAGTGGCTGTATCAATTTACATTCCCACCAACAGTACAAGAGGGTTCCCTTTTCTCCACCCCCTCTCCAGCATTTGTGTTTGTAGATTTTCTGATGATGCCCATTCTAACCGGTGCGAGGTGATACCTCATTGTAGTTTTGATTTGCATTTCTCTAATAGTTAGTGATGTTGAGCAGCTTTTCATGTGCTTCTTGGCCATCTGTTTGTCTTCTTCTTTGGAGAAATGTCTATTTAGGTCTTCTGCCCTTTTTTTTTTTTTTTTGTGGTACGCGGGCCTCTCACTGTTGTGGCCTCTCCCGTTGCGGAGCACAGGCTCCGGACACGCAGGCTCAGCGGCCATGGCTCACGGGCCCAGCCGCTCCGCGGCATGTGGGATCTTCCCGGACCGGGGCACGAACCCGTGTCCCCTGCATTGGCAGGCGGACTCTCAACCACTGCGCCACCAGGGAAGCCCTCTGCCCATTTTTTGATTGTTTGTTTGTTTGTTTTTTAATATTGAGCTGCATGAGCTGTTTACATATTTTGGAGATTAATCCTTTGTTGATTCCTTTTGCAAATATTTTCTCCCATTCTGAGGGTTGTCTTTTCGTCTTGTTTATAGTTTCCTTTGCTGTGCAGAAGCTTTTAAGTTTCATTAGGTCCCATTTTTGTCTTTACTAGTTTTAGGAGACCTTGTCTATCACCAGCTGTGTAGCACTAAACAAGTTACCCAGAGCTCTGGCTTAGTCGCCCCATCTCTGAAATGGCTAGGAGACTTCCCAGGAATAACAATGCTCCTCTTCTCTCCTTCCCTCCCTTTCTCCCTCTCCTGCCCTCCAGGTCACCCTCCTTCCCTCCCAGGACTATGGCCTGAGGCTGAATGAGACATCTGGTTGAAAATGTACTGATAAGGGCTAAAGCACCTAATGCAAATATTTATATTTGTTTTCTTCCTTTTCCTTTCTTAATAATGTCTTTTGTCACTCTAGGGACACTCTAGGTTTCTATTACTCTAGTTATCAATCTACCAAACTATCTTGTATATATTTTTAAAAGGCTCCCAATTACTGCTTTATTTTTCTAAGCTTTTTCAACTTTTTTCTTCTACCTTTGAAGCTTCTGAAAGTTGCAGAAAGCTTAGGTCACTATGGACAGTGGACTCTTGGTTTGATGAATCAACTCCCCATTCCTAGCAACTGTGACAGAGAAACGTCCAAAAGAATATCTTGCAAAGCTAGAAATGCTAATTCTCTCTTCCATAATTAGGTTTTGAAATAATATACACTACTGTGATATGACAAATATTTTACAGTAGCTAACATTTCTTGAGCACTTACTATATACTAGGTATTATGCTGAGGGCTTTATGTGCGTATTATTTAATTCTCCAAATGACCCTATGAGATAGGTACTACTACTATCTCCATTTTATCAATGAGGAAACTGACAAAAGTTACAAAGTTATTAGACAGGATTGAAACTTGAGTCTGTCTGACTCCAGAATTGGAATTTTTAACCCTGATGCTCTTCTGTGGACAGATAAATGGGAACACAGAATAACAACTCTCAAATGTATTCTAAATACTCAAAGTAGAAGAGGCTTCCCTGCCAGACACAATGACATGTTACACAATGGTAACATGTCAGGTCTGTAAACCTAAGAAATATTAACCAGGTAAACAAGTGTTGCAGGGAAGTTGAATTTTCTAGGCTGGATCTCTCCTGGTTTATGCTAAACTTCCACCATCAGAGGTCAGTGGCATGCTGTACAAAAAAAGACAGACTGATTTCTATGTTGAGATTTTTGTCTCTGGATATCTGGATTGGTTTTAGCTTTACTGAATTGGCAAGTAAAAGAAAAGAAAAAACCCACCACAGGCCAATTTCACTAATTTTAAGAAGGAAGGAACAAAAAGTAGGAAAGGAAAAGAACTCAAAGAATAAACCAATGGGTCCTAGTTCTAACTCTTGGTATCTTTGACTAATTTGTGTGTGTGTGTGTGAACTTGGAGAATCCAGTTATATTCTCTCTACAAATTCCCCAACCAAAACAAGGACTGTGAACATTAAAATTAATTGAAGTAATTTAGTGCAGTGGAAAAAGCACGGGTAAATTCTTTTGGAAATGTCAAATGGAGATGAATTTCAGTTCTAAGTGCAGTATTTGCCATCTGATTTTGGGTAAGTTACAAAACTACTAAAATCTGATTTTAGGCAAGTCCCTAAACTACTCTAAGTGTGGGTCATCATCTGCAAAATAGCAACAAAAATGCATAGTAACCTAGTCTTTTGCTGTCAGACTTACGCAAAATAACATATGCACAATCCCTAGCACAGTGCCTGGCACAGGGTAGGGTTCAATAAATGTTGGTATTCTTCATTCCTCCAATAAAATCCTCAGGTGCTATGGGGTCTTCCAGCATGAAAACAGAATGTGAACATAATAAATTTTGTCTAATTGAAACATCTCCAAATTGTAATGGCATATTTTGGGGCTACACAACCACTACCCAGGAGCACGATTACAGCTACTCCATATTCTGTTGTTTACCAAAGAACATGCATGTCTGGTAGTGGGCCAAGCAAGTTCAAAACACAACAGAACTTTAGTGAAGGCAGAATAAGGCAGAATAGAAGGGCCTCAAAACCACAAGCCTTTATGAAAGTCCAGCCTACTCCATGCTGAAAATTCTCACTTCGAATTCAACTAGTTGTGATACTCCCCTCCCCCAGCCCTCCTTCAGCAAACCCAATAGTGGCTGTTCTGTGCTTTTCAAGGAATTTTTCAGTCACTGACAGTCTGATACAATAGGATGACTGGGTCTGAGGATTACTTCGGCCACAAGGACCAGCAAACAAACACCCAGTGGAAGGCAAACATCTTTTCGAAGGTGACGTAACAAGCCATTTACAAAAAGAACTTTAAAATAGCTCCTACTCTCAGACTTACCCAATTAAGTCACATTTTCTCTGTGACTTAATGGCTCCAGGCTCTACTCTTACTTCATAAATCACAACCACAAGCTTGGGAAAATGCTTCAAATTACACCAATCAATAAATTTTTATTGACTGTTTACAACTGGCCTCGTGCTATAGCAAGTGCTCTAAGAGCCAAGTGCCTAATGTGAGGCCTGAGCCATCCATGCTCTGACGCTATTTCGGGTCCCATAAACAACGCAGACCCCTTCCCTGTGGCAGCTCATTGCCAGCACCTGGCATTCAAGGCCCTCGCAATCTGGCCCAAGCTTCTTACTTTTCCAGTTACTATTATTATTTTTAATTTTCCTCTACTCCTATTGTTCCACCAGGTCTTGTGTGTGTGTGTGTGTGTGTGTGTGTGTGTGTGTGTGTGTGTGTTTTGCTTTCTACATTTGCTTTACTATTTATTCTTCCAAGAACTCCCTCTTTGCATCTGTGTTTGCTGAATAATTAGCTATTCTTTATGACTCACGTCAAATCCCATCTCTTCCATGGAGTCTTGTTCTCCCACTCTCTTTGGAAGTGCCTTCTTCTTTGAATTGACTCCAGGTTGTGTTACTGTCGCACTAAGAGAACACTCAGTTACCAATGCATATATCTAGTCTATAAACTCATACAGGATCAAAATCATTATTTGTGGTATTCACTACGGTAAATCTCTCCTACCAAAGCCTTAAGTCATATCTGTTGAATGTATATAATACTGGTGGAAGAAGTGAGGCTTTAAGAACAGGAAAGATGAACTGGGACATGGAGACGAATTTTGACGTGGGGTCAGCCTAAGCAAGGGACAGAAATGAGAATGCTTGAGGTTCTTCCAGGGAACAGCAAAGATTTTACCTCAACCTAAAGCTTAGATAGTGTGAATGCTAGGAGTGGTTCCCTTAGCCCCCCAATATGAACCTCATTCTGCAGGCACTGGCCGACCATTGAAGGTCTCTGAACAGGAGACCTATTATCAGGACTCTGAGTTATTGGAAGCAGTATGAAATACACAAGAAAAGCTCAGTCTGGAAATGAAGAATAAAAGTAAGACATGCACGGCAATAGTCTAGGGAGAAAGAGGCAACGAGAGCCTGAATTAGGGAAGAAGCTTGGAAAGCACAAGAAATATTATTACCGAGGTAGGATCAAGACATTTAAAAAATAATAATGTGAAGGATTCCAGTCTGAGTAACTCCGTGGATGGTAGTTCCATTAAAAACTATGAGAGAAAGAGGAAGTACTGGGGAAAAAGATTAATTCCAGTTTGAATATTTCGAGTGTGAGGTCTCGTTAAGACAGTCAGGTGAAGATATCCAAATGGTAAGTGACGAGCAGTGCCAGAGCTCCAGAAAACAGTGCAGTGGAAGGTCTAGGCTTCATCAGCAGGAGCTGAGAGCTCAGTAGAACGGAGGAGGCTGCCTACGCACAAAATGTGAATCATGAAACGAGGGCCAAGAACAGATCCTTTGGTAACTTCTACAACTTGAGGGCGGCAGGAGCAAGATACAACAGTCGGGAGACAGCAGACCAAGCAGAAGAATGTAGGGGCCTGGAAGCCAAGTAAAGAGCATGATTCGTCAATTAGGAAATTAACAACAAGAGATACCAGATCACTTACCTCGTTGAAAAGATGAATGTTAAAAGCATAAAACTCAGCTGAATGGAACAGACTGAAGAAAAAAAAGAAAAGATTAAATCTAAATTAGCGCTGTAAAATCAGTATCTGTAGCATACTTACTGGTATGCTTCGTTTTATCTGAAACTTATGGGAATTCAAACAGAAAAATAAACGAATAAGTGAAACACACACACATTGCTAAACTGACAGAATCATTTAAACTAGTGGGACTCAACTTGTTCTTTTTATTTTATTTTTTCCACGCCTCGCAGCATGCGGGATCTTAGTTCTCCAACCAGGGATCGAACCCGGGCCCCCTGCAGTGAAAGCGCACCTGGGCCCCAGGCAGTGGAAGCGTAGAGTCTTAACCACTGGGCCGCCAGGGAAGTCCCTCAACTTGTTCTTAGTGAAGATATCCTCAGATATAACCTATGATATTTGCGACTCAGGGTAACTCTAAAACCCTCTTTGATTTAAAGTTTGGTTATCTGTTCAATAGCGGAAGAGCTGGTTTGTACTATGAATAATAGCAAATAGCATAAATGTGGTAGCATATAACATATATTTTGGAATGACTCATGTTGATTTTAATAACAAAACATTCTTTGATATTATAATTAACAAAGTAGTCTTTGGTATTACTGGGTAAATAGAACAAAAGGTTAGTTTTGGACCCTAGCAGTTACTTGCATTTTATAGCCTGCTGCCTCTTAAAATGAAATGATATTACTTGGGGTATATTTTAATAGAAAACATTATGTAAATAGTCACATTTTAACCAATGCAGCCAACTACTGTACTTAGAAAACAACAGCACCATAGATTATAAATCCTACTTTTAATTCGCAATAAAGGGTAAGATTAGCTTCAAGTTACAATAAAATAAATTGGCAAAAAAGTGCTCAATCTAGCATTTGAATTTGACAGATATTATGGCTTCTTTCATCTGGCATCAACTATTGTAAATCAGACATAAAAGACAAAGGAGATTATGTCATAAGTGCATAACTGATGTCTTTTTAAAGAACAGATACATACGATAAAGTCACCAAGTCCGTACATGCAACACAAAAGGAAGTATTCTTTTCTAAGCAAATGAATATTGGCAATGAATTTAGGGACCACAGATGGCTTTGCTTTGCTATTGAGGAGGCTGAGGAGACAGCAAGAAGGAAGATACCACCTTCCGACTTACTTATGAACAGTATGAGAACAAGACTGAATCTATCCAGGTCGATATCTGGGTTCGAGAACGTGTCACAGAAGGTTGTGTAGATTATCACGAGGAGCACGCTGCTGCTGACAGCACCAAAAGGAGGCTTCTTTCTTTCAAGCCAGTCCTTGATGTATCTTCGGACAATCTGAAACACAGAGACCAAGAGTTTGCCTCTTTTCAGATGTGGAGGGAGTTGAATTGGGCATTGCAAAGTGATTCTGACAGCAGAAAGACATAAAGGAAAGAGAACGGTTTGGAGGATGGCCATAGGGGATTTCAAGGCCTCCCTGCCACACCACTCTTCTCCTGGGGAATTTAACATTTGTAGTGCAACTTCCACTGGTGTCCATAAGGACAGTATATTTTCCGCTGCATTCAAATCCATCCTTAATCATGCCAAATGCTCTTTGCTAGCTGTCACTGAGACATGCCCATTAAGCCTCCCCAAAGTTTATCTCTTCTGCTGATCCTAATGGATGTGCGTAATTATCACAGTCCCCTTTGCCTCGATGGACAATTCCAAGTGCAACTTTGGGAATCTTAACAGTCTGACATCTTCAAGAATTTCAAGACAGTAGATAATCGAAAATGATCCATGGAACATATTAATATTTAAAATGCTAGCAATGCACCAGAAGTTTTTAATTAAATTATAACTCATGCTTGAAAAGCAAAAGTGCATGTGTTGTGGGAGTTTAAATAATTCAGACTCTGAATATCTAGAGTTTTTGTGAATCCAAAGACAAATGCCATTTGCATGCTTTTAGAATTCCAGAATTAACACTTGAAAATGGATAAACCTGTCCTAACTTTCCTACAAAAGGATAAGTGAAAAATGAAGTTATGTGGCAATCCTCTCATATTTTAAAATCAAGTCAGATATTTCAAATCAGGACAGCCTGAACATGGGCGATAACTTTAAGTTTGGATATAAAAGTGAACCACTCTATTTAAAACCTTTGGCTTTTGGAAGAAGCTGAACGAACCCGATAATGAAGACTAGAGTTGAGAGACATTAAGTTTTGAGTCACTCATTATCCTGCATAATTGAACATGAGATTTCACAACAGGCTGAATTACCATGATCCATTAGCAATAATGAGGTCAGGGAACTTCTCCTGACAAGGCTGATGGGGTTCTGTCATCTTCCACTCTGTCACGAAAAAGGCTTAATTCGCAATGAGGCATGCCTTCACAGATACTCAAGAATAAATAAACGACTCTCCAGAGAACCTGTGAACAAACGGCTATTGGATCGATTTCCTCCGATCTCAAGGACTCAGTAAGTAAAACAAGTGTTGAAAAAGGGTGTCCTGGCAGAAAGCTGACCAGTTGGTATGATGTATAGGTGCAGCACCCTGAAGGTTGGGTGGGGTGGGAGAACGAGGGTTTTATATAGAGACATAAATAGTGGTTAAATATTTTTAAAAAGTAGATCTTGTAATTAAAGTTACAGCTGAATTTATAAAAAATCATGGTTTGTTTTTGCACAAGTGATCCGAAACCATAGTAATTTATCTAGTGTTCATTTCTTTCTTTAAAGTTTAAATGTAGTGAGGTAGAGCGAAATAAGAGTAGTTCTGTCACATAGTATTATGGACTGATGTATCAGCACACAAATTTTGGTGCCTTAGGGACACAGATAGTCCCACGTTCAGATATGTCACCATGCGGGTAGCTGCTTAATAGAAGGCTACAGAGACTTCACTTAAAGGGTCATTTCATAATCTGTTGTTTCTGGTAGCATAAAGCTGGTACTTGGTCCAATTCAGTGCAACCCAACTTCTTTAGGAAATAAAGTAAATGGAAATTACACAGAGTTATTGAAATTAATACTGTCCTCCAATTTTGTTTTAATATATAATGGTTAAAAACACAGAAGTCCTCTCTTCGCAATAGGTTACAGAATGTATGATCCCAATTCCAAAAGTACTGGGTTGGCCAAAAAGTGCCTTCGGTTTTTAAGTAAAAGTAAAAGACACATTTTTCATTTTCAAAGAACTTTATCGAAAAACATATGCACCCTTTTGTTCCACTACCTTCTGCCATTTTTCAGGCAACTTCATAATTCCATCTTCCCAAAACGTTTTATCTTTTTGAGCAAAGAACTGTTCCAGGTGCCTTCCACAGTCTTCCAGGGAATTGAAATTTTTTCCATCAAGAGAATTTGGTAAAGACAGAAATAAATGGAAATCTGAAGGTGCAATGTCTGGTGAATACGACAGTTGAATCAGAACTTCCCAGCCAAGCTGTAACAGTTTTTGCCTGGTCATCAAAGAAACATGTGGTCTTGCATTATCCTGTTGGAGGATTATGCGTTTTCTGTTGACTAATTCTGGATGCCTTTTGTGGAGTGCTGCTTTCAGTTTGTCTAACTGGAAGCAGTACTTGGTGGAATTAATTGTTTGGCTTTCTGGAAGGAGTTCATAATAGAGGACTACCTTCCAGTCCCACCATATACACAGATCAGGATGAATACCGGCCTTTGGTGTGCTTGGTGGTGGTTCATTTCGCCTGCCCCATGATCTCTTCCGTTCCACATTATTGTACAGTATCCACTTTTCATCGCCCCTCACGATTTGTTTCAAAAAGGGAATGTTTTCATTACGTTTCAGTAGAGAATTGCATGCGGAAATACGGTCAAGAAGGATTTTTTCGCTTAACTTATGTGGAACGCAAACATCAAAGCGATGAACATAACCAAGCTGGTGCAAATGATTTTCAGCGCTTGATTTGGATATTTTGAGTATGTCGGCTATCTCCCACGTGGTATAACATTGATTGTTCTCAATTAATATCTCGACTTGATAGCTATCAACTTCAACTGAGCTACCTGACCATGGGGCACCGTCCAGCGAGGAATCTCCAGCACGGAACTTCGCAGACCACTTCTGACATGCTCGGTCAGTCACAGCACCTTCTCCATACGCTGCACAAATCTTTCTTTGTGTTTCGATTGCATTTTTACCTTTCTTGAAATAATAAAGCATAATATGCTGAAAATGTTGCTTTTTTCCTTCCATCTTCAATATTAAAATGGCTACACAAAAGTTCACCAATTTTGATGTCTTTTTTTTTTAAATGCACACTGATATGACAGCTGTCACATACAATCTAACAAAATTGTTTCGAATGAAGTTAAAGACAACTAAGTGCTACTAGAGCCATCTTATGGAAAAAACCGAATGAACCTTTTGGCCCACCCAATAAAAGCGTCTTCCTCCACTACCATCGAGCCCTCTGACAAAATAAACAAATAAATATGAATGAGGTGTAACTCGAAAGTCAAAGCCATTTCAAAAACCAAGACAAATCTGTAATCATCAATCAACTTTATAAGCTGTGATTTGACTCAGTCAACCTTATTACCTCTTTCTTCATTATAAAGTACTCAAAGTCTCATAGTATATTAGGATTCTTTCAATAGGCAAGAAACACGGGCTCCAAATCCTGCATCCTCCTAGCCAAAATGACTTTCTTCTCAACTCTAGCTCACAGAAACGCATGCATTCAAAATTAAATGACATTTTTGCTTTTCCCTGTGGAGAGAGAAGGGGAAAAGAAGTCCTCCTCAGGAAACTTTTTATTTTATTTTATTGTCTCACCTTCTACATTTTCATTTTCTTGTTTTAAAATTAAGCACAAGGAAAGGTTAAAGGGAAACTAAAATTTGAATCCCTGTACTTCTAATAAGCTGAGTGACATGTCAATTACTGCATGACCTCGCAGCTGAACCCCTGGAAACATAACACATCTTAGGTGAAGAGGTTGATATGCAGAGGTAAGTGAGAAGTGTAACAGCCATCATTTGTTTTCTTCATTTTCTTTTTCAGGGTATTTTCTTCTGTTTTCCTTTCCACTCTGTCTCTATACTTAGATATTGATTTTTGAGTGGGGACATACAATGGATAATTTTTCACGTTAAGTCTGAATTTTAAAATTTCTTCAGGTGGCTTCAATTTTTTTAAATTAGTTTTTTCGTGTTTTTATTTAAAAACATTTTTTTAAACTTTAATACAATTTTTAAAGGTCGCTTTCCATCTACAGTTATTACAAAATATTGACTCTATTCCCCGTATTGCACAATACATCCTTGAGCCCATCTTACACCCAGCAGCTTGCACCTCCCCCTCCCCCTCCCCTATATCACCCCTCCCCCCTC